CCTACATAAAAAATTATCACAGCTTTTTAAAAAGATGGGTTGGATGAAATTTAAGCTAAAGGTTGAAGGAAAAAAACATTCGTCCTTATGGAGAAGCATATTCTACTGAGAATTTTTTAGAACTATTATTTTAGGGCAGGTCTTGTAGAGTCTCACCTTGAGGTTTATTTTTGTAAAAGCAGGATTGGGGTTTTTGCACCTCTCACTTTACAATTAATTTACACTTTAGAAGATTTTTCCTCTTTTTTTTTATTTGCAAATTATTATATCTAATCAGGATAGGAAAAGTAACTTTGACAGGACAATGCAAATGTGTGTGGCATCATTTCCCCCTTCCTTATAATGGAAAAAAGGTTATTTGCGGCCTGATTGTGTTAAGTTTTTCTGGCATTTGTTCCAAAACTTTGTACTGTTTATTTAAAGTCCCACTGATTTGAGCTGGCCTATATAGATCCTTCCTTATTATGCATTTGGTTTCTGTCTATGTTCAACTGCTTGGACATCTTGTCATTAAGATGAGAAAAATAATCTCTGGGATATCAGAGGCTGCTGCTTCATGCTTCTTCTGGAATGTATATCGTCATTTTAAGAATTATTGTCCTTTGTGGCTTGGTTTTGCTATCAGCAAAACTGGCTGTTCACATCCTTTTAGAGAAAGTGACTTTTATGGTTGGGCCCTGACTTACTAAGGAACTTGGCAAAACTGCATATTCAAGAATTTGGAACTGTTTAGAAGAAGTTTCAGTTTTGATATGGACGGCATTGTCACTGTAGTTAAGTGCGGATTAGGTTATCACAGTTCTGCATAGCTTTGCAGAATCCATTCAGACTTTTGTTTTACTCTCCACCTTGCAGAAGCCCAACAGTAACTGAAAACAAAGCCAATGTCAACATGACCTGTTGAGTTGGGTCAAACCATTTTAATTGTTAGAATGGATCTAGGAACAAATGGCATAGTTCTTCTTCTATGGAACTGTAATAATAGAACACAATAAATGTAAAAGATGTAAGTTGCCTTTTGCTAGTATCCAAGGAGTGGTTGAGTGATGGATAATGGATAATAATAAAAAAAAAAAAAAATACAAGTTTCATGCAAATGCTCCCAGCATGAATTTTGTACAAACATTGGTCAATGGCATGAACAAGATTGTAAATTTAACAGACTCGATTTGGTCAGAATCTTTAACTTTCAGTCGGTCAGTCATCTAATGCCACCCAGTTTTTATATCCTCTCTCCTCCCCACTCAGCAATAATTTGACCCTACTGTAGGTCCCAGACCATTTTAAACCTGGTATTGAAGAATTTGTTTTCTAGGAAAAATAGTAACTCGCTGCATTAAGTGCATACATTGAGCAGAGCACCATTTGGAAAGTCTTGGGACATGTACCCAAGACCAGAGCAATCCCCTGTCTTGCTTAGGAGGCTTGTGCAACTTGAGTTGTCTTTTGTATCAGTTCTCAATTGCTTTCATACTGATAGAAGCAGCTCTTCACTGCTGAAGAATGTGCTTCTTTCCTAAGCATATGTAGATCTGGTATTCTAGGAGTTCAAGTCCATTTAGTTTTCTCGGTTTACAGTAAGCTGCAAGAGTAAACCAGTTCCCATTTAAGATTTTTGTATCATGGAACCTTATTCAATAACTGTTTTCTTGACAGTAGGTTTTTAAACTGCTGGTTTAGCCCACTGGTCAGCTTGTAGAGCTGTGACATTCAACCTGTAGGGCTCCCTATAGGTTCATAAATTTGGTGGCAGGAGAGCAGTGGTAGCATTAATTGGTTCTCCACTGCCATCAGATCTCCAGACTTGTGGGGAGCCCTGCGGGTCTCACCCTGGTGTACAGCTGGTTTTGGGTGCGTGGGGGGTTACCAGCTGATGATGCCTTCCAATCCTCATCAGCCCAGGAGGGTTCTAGTTTTCATGAAAACAACAGTAC